GGATAATGGAAACCAGAAAACCACACACCTCAGGGGCTCCTAGCTAACTCTACTCCTCCACCACCAGCAGCAACTCCATTGAAAACTCAATCACCCAGAACAGGGTTGGCAGATTTTGCTGTAAAGGGCCAGACAATAAATATTTTAGGCTTTCAGGGCTATATGGTCTTTGCTGCAGCTTCTCAGCTCTGCTGTGTGGCACAAAAGCAGCACCGGCCAGTATGTCAACAAATGGGCATGGCTGTGTTCCAATAAAGCTTTATTTATAAAAACAGATGGTGGGCCAAATTTGGCTGCCATCCAAGCCTTCTGTCAGTTGACAGTCTACAGTTTTTAAACACTTTATGTAATTTTATTCTTTTTTTTAAGTCGCACTATGATTCTGACCAAATGTATATAAACTTAAATGGATTCGTTTAGACCAGTGGTTCTCAGTGAAGACAATTTGGTCCCCCAGAGGACATTTGGCAATGTCTGGAGACTGGGGTCATCTCTAAGGGTATGGAAGTTGTATGGTCACGTGGGGTGCTGAGCTTAGAATAGCTTCAGGTACAGGGAATAGAACCCAGGGCCTCATGCATGCTGGGCAAGCGTCCTACCACTGAGCCCTTTATCTTGATATTCTTAATAGATGTTTGTCCAAGTGGCCCCATATTTTTATTTTGCTCTCAGCCCCACAACTTATGTTCCCCATCCTGCTGAAGACATAAAACCCTCAGTTTGATAAGACTGGGGAGGTACTACTCTGGGGGCAGGGGCTGCTGAAGCCATCCTGCAAGGGGACTTGCTCCCAACACAACAGAGAATTACCCAAATGTCAACAGTGCCAAGGTTGAGGAACCCTGGGTTACACCCAGTGACAATGGCAATAATCTATGATTGCTGATGTACAGATACAGCCATTTTTTGTCTTTATAAGACATAAAAATTTTATAACCCAAGAAAATAATCATCTCCTGATCTAAGCATATCTGATTTATTTTTGCTCACCACAATAAATGCATGCCATCTGCCCCAATTTCTATATTTGTGGGTTGACCTCTTCATTGTTTTTTCTAAATAAGTAACGCATGCAAATGCCACAAATTTGATTCAGAAATGAAAGCAGCACAGGTGAATTTCCCATCTACCCCTCCCTTGTCTCTGCTCGCCTCCTCAGATAGATTCTATTGATCCTTCCTTGATCTTCCACAAACTTTTTGTAGACAGAGACATTCTGCTCTTATTTTCCTTTATACATCCACTCAGAGTGTTCACAAAAGACCCTAGCACCTGGCCTCTCCCTGCCCTGCTCCCCATTTTTCTGGGGCCACCTACTTCGCAACAAGGGCTCCAATTGCCCAGGGGCCTCCTGTTTCAGGAACTTTGCCTCCTGGAACTAACAGAAGAGAGCTTTCTGCTCCCCTTCTGTGGAAATCCCCTGGCTGAATTAAAAGTTGCCGCATTCCCTTTTCCAGCCCAAATTTCTCTCCATTGGAACTCTTTGTCACAGAAAGTATCATCGCTCTATTTAAAGTCTGCTGGGACCCAGTGCCTGTCAAAGCCACTGAACAAAGTAGAAGGCCCTTGCACTCCGATCAGGCCTAACTCTGGGATTGGCCAACGCTCTTTCCAGTCCAAGAAGAGCAGGGAAGAGGCGCTAACTTCCCAGTGTGGGACCTGAAGAGGGAAGGAAGGGCAGCCCCTCTGCTGAGTGTGAGCATGGGTGTGTGTGGTCACGCACATGCTCCTACACTGTTAATACCACATGTAAATTAAAAAGATAAAAAGACCAGCAAAGGCACCCAGAAAAACGCAAGCAGGTCGGGAACACCAATTCGAGAGAGTGATCAATTATTTAGAGGTATTTAACTCTATCTTGATTCAAGGGCAACATCTCCAGCTGGGAGAAAGGGGAAAGCGTGGCTTGGACCCTATCCTTGGCAGATGGCGGCTGGGGAGCAGCAGGTCCCTGGGGTTCTGCACTTCTTTCTTTCTTGGCCTTTCCAGGGCACCACGGCCCGAGGTGCTTTGTCTCCCCGGAGGAAAGCGGCAGGCTTACATTTCCCCAAACTCTCCAAGGAGGGGAGAAGGAGACACACAGGCCGCTGTCCAAGCTAACAGCCCGGGTGGACAGGGAAAGCTCGGACTCAGAACCTGCGCGGGATGGCTCTCCTCTCCCCAAGTCTGGCTGTCATTGCCCTCCATGGCCTGAGGGCTGGTGGCAACAGCAGGACAGGCAGGAGATGGGCGTTGCCAGCTGCTGGCAGGGGAACCCTTCTGCCTTGCAGAGCTGCTGCCGCAGGGCCTGCTGGGAGCACCGGCCCCTCCACTTCTAGGCTGCCCCACTGGCTGCAGGCCCACCTCAAGGTGGCAGGGTGGAAAGGCAGGCTGCAGGAGAAGCAGGGCTGTAAAGAACAGCACAAGATTTGGAATGGAGGCAGAGTCACAAGCCCAGTGCCCAGACTCACTGTGTTAGCACAGCTTGTGTGGCTTTTTTAATGTCTTCAGTGAAATGTACACAAATTAAAATCAAGCACTTCAGCTTACTGAATGATGTGAGTACATTCGTACTGTGCACAGCCATCACCACCATCTATTTCCAGAAGCTTCTTATCATTCCTGACTGAAACTCTGCCACCTAACTCCATTTCCCCCATCCCCACCCCAGGCCCTGGCAACCACCATTCTTTCTGCCTCTATGCATTTGACTCCTCTAGGCACCTCAGGGAAGTGGGATCATATAATACTTGTCTTTTTTGTGACTGGCTTATTTTGCTTACTGTAATGTGTCCACTATCATCTGTGTTATAGCATGTGTCAGGATTTCCTTCCCTTTTTGTAGCTGAGTAGTATTCCATTGCATACATATACCACATTATGTTTTCCCATTCATTCACCTGTTGGCAGACACTGGTTGCTTCCACCTTTTGGCTGTGAATGATGTTTCTATAAAAGTGGATATACAAAATCTATCAGAGCTATGCAGCTATATATACTCCTAAACCATACCTTGGAAGATTCTGTCTCAGTAGCTCTGGAGTGAGGTCAGGGAAACTGTATTTTTAACAAGAGCCCTAGGCTGAACCTAAGGCCAGACCATTTGTAAACATCAGCTCCCAGGTGTGAACCAGGCAGGTCTGATTTCCTTGTGCACAATAAGGAAACTGAGGCTCAAGCACAACTCAGGCACCAGAGTTCAAGCTGATCCCGCTGACCACAAAGACCTCGCTGTTTCACTCACAGGAAGCACTGCTATGACTCCATGAAGCCCCAGCAGCCTGGCGGCTCTGAGTGACCTCTGACACAGGGACACCTGGTGAGAGCAGAGACTCGGGCCACATCAGAGTGGGGCCCTGGTGTGACAGGGCAGCACCCGAGAGGTGGGCTCTTTCCTCACTCCTGGGAAGGTTCAGCCACAGCTTGGAAATCATTGATTGGAATGGTCTGCATTTTGGTTTTAGAAGGGGCAGTCAGTGCCCCACTGTCTTTAAGAGGAGACATGCAAGAAAGACAGAGGGCGCCCTGAAATGCTCTCTGGCATTAACTGCACTCCTGCCTCCTGACCAGGGCCCTGCACGATCTCATTCACTCTTCACCTCGATCTTTCAAGGAAAGATCCTCTCCACTTGACAGGTAAGAAATGAAGGCAGGTGTGGTGGTGCACACTTGTAGTCCCAGCACTCTGGGAGGCTGAGGCAGGACAGTAAAACTTCAAGCCTAGCTTGGGCAACTTATCATGACCCTGCCTTTAAAAGATTTTTCAAAATTCTTTTTTTTTTTTTGGTACCAAGGATCAAACTCGGGTCCTTATGCTTGCACAGCAGGCGGCGAAACCACTGAGCTAAATCCCCAGCCCTCAAAATTCTTTTTAAGGGCTGGGGATATAGCTCAATGAGAAGGCCCTGGGG